GATCTTCGTTTCTCCTCTATACTACGGTACCTGCCTCGACGCTGCTAGTCTAAGCTTACAGACAAGTGGTTTGTGCTGGGTGGCGACTTTTACTACTTCCCTGTCATCAATGTAAAGAGGTGCTTATAGTAACCCTTACACACACACATACACACACACACACACACACACACACACACACACACACACACACACACACACACACACACACATACACACATATACACACACACACACACACACACACACGCACACACACACACAAACACACACACACACACACACACACACACACACACACACACACACACACACACACACACACACACACACACACACATACACAAATACATACATACATATATATGTGTGTGCGTGTGTGTATGTGTGTGTGTGCGCGCGCGTGCGCGCGCGCGTGTGTGTGTGTGTGTGTGTGTGTGTGTGTACACGTGAGTACACATTTTGGGTCTCTTCATTTCTTTTCCCTCCCCTCCTCTCACATAAATGTGTTAAGCCGTATGTGTATGTATCCCGCGTTGGTTTTGTTGGGTAAAAGTGCTTAGTGACAGCAAATGACACGGTCTCACTTTCCTCTGACCTTTGGTCGCATTACTGTGTAATCACGGCATGTTGTCAACAAACATGAATATCGTTCATTAGTCCAGTATTTAATGAACTCTCTCGTTATTATAGATATATATATTATTTCAACTACAACGAATTTAACGCGTTCGTGACTTTATCTTATTATGAATATCATTTCATTAATTAGATTCCCACCGTGCGTTTCCGTCTCGACCTGACCTGACCTCGCTATTTCTTTCTTCCGGTCAGTCGACACATGAAATGGCTTGAAAGACATCTCGCTGTTCCCATTAATTTGGTTGTTTGAAATTGGTTGCACCATAGAGTTACGAATAGCATCGTTGCATTGCTCATTTGTGACACGTTCAATCGCCGCTGGAGCGGAGCTTGCAACGCAATTTTATATACATTTATCATTTTGATCATAGCGTTAGAATCTTCCCCATATCAGAGTGCACAGGGATGCCTGATATAGCCCGGGGTTGCGTGATTATTCGTATGGTCGGCAACTTTTGAGTCTTTGTGGTCCGTCCGTTGAATAATGTAGGACTAGGGTTTAAGCTAGAGTCGTTATTCGCATATTAATCACGCTCTTTTCACCCTCGAGAAGTCGCTGGCATTTTTGGGTAAATCCCAAGCGATCGCGTGATTCGTGATGTATACCCATAGGTATATTCGCAGAAACGAGTGGGTTATTTATAAATTTTCCCGGCTCGTTCGTTTCGTATAGTACGGTATTTTTGGGTATAGACCCCCGTCGATGAAGTCTGCATACACATGGCTACCTCGGGAAGTTTGCTGACCCCGAGAAGATTTGCTTGCGAGAAGGAGGACCAGTGCGAGACTTTCGAGGACGTGTGAACGTCGAGGACGGACATATTTACCAAGGAACAGGACGAAGAGGACGACAAGGACGAGCATCCATGAAGATACACCAGGGACAACGCACGTGGGTACGAAATAACCATCATATCAGTTCCAACCACGGTTGGGTCACCCTCTAAGGCGCCTCGAGGGCGAGGCGTTAGTAAGTGGCCGAGTAATATACCGTGTACATAAGCACGGTTTGTGTAAGCCATTAGACCACGTGGCTATATGCCACATGGCTCTAAGTCCAGTAGAGAACCAACTTAGAGTTTATCTAACCGCGTTTGTATATAAATACATATATGTATATCTCAATATATATATGTATATTTATATATATCATATATATATATATATATATATATATATATATATATATATATATATATATATATATATATATATATACATTATATATATATATATATATATATATATATATATATATATATATATATATATATATATATATATATATATGTATATATATATATATATATATATATATATATATATATATATATATATATATATATATATATGTATATATATATGTATATATCTGTGTGTGTGTGTGTGTGTGTGTGTGTGTGTATGTATACATACATATATGTATATGTATATACATATGCATATATAACATATATAATACATACATCACATATAACACACAAACAGACGCACACACAAACATACACACACACACACACATATATATATATGTATGTATGTATGTATCCATACATAAACACCAGACGAGCGAAAAAAATATCAAAGATGTGTTTAACTGATATATATGTATATAAATATATATATATATATATATATATATATATATATATATATATATATATATATATACATACATATATATATATATATATATATATATATATATATATATATATATATTTATATACATATCTGTATATGTACATACATACATATATATATATATATATATATATATATATATATATATATATATATATATATATATATATATATATATATATATGTATATATATATATATATACATATACATATGCATATATAACATATATAACATATATAATATATATATCATATATAACACACAAACAGACACACACACAAACACACACACACACACACACACATATATATATATATATATATATATATATATATATATATATATATATATATATATATATATATATATATACATATACATATGCATATATAACATATATAACATATATAATATATATATCATATATAACACACAAACAGACACACACACACACATATATATACATATATGTATGTATGTATGTATGCATACATAAACACCACACGAGCGAAAAAAATATCAAGATGTGTTTAACTGATATACATATATATATATATATATATATATATATATATATATATATATATATATATATATATATATATATATATGTATATGTATATATATATATGTATATATATATACCTATATTTATATACATATATGTATATATACATACATATATATATATATATATATATATATATATATATATATATATATATATATATATATATATATATATATATGTGTGTGTATATATATATATATTTTTTTTTTTTTTTTTTTTTTTTTCAACAGCCATTCATTCCACTGCAGGACATAGGCCTCTCTCAATTCACTATTGAGAGGTTATATGGCGATGGCACCCTTGCCTGATTGAATGCCCTTCCTAATCAACCGCGGTTCGGCGCGTTAACACTTGTGCCATGGCGGTGACTTCCCCTACGACACCTGCGTTTGACTTCTCAAGCCAATATGTCGTTTTCTCGGGCTCGAGTTAGCAGTCAGAGCGTAGGCATTTTTTTACAACTGCCGCGACGGGGAATTGAACCCGGGACCACGAGGGTCGGAGTCCAGTGCTCTAACCACTGAGCTATTACGGCAGTATATATATATATATATACATATATATATATATATATATATATATATATATATATATATATATATATATACATAAATATATATATATATATATATATATATATATATATATATATGTATATATATATATATATATATATATATATATATATATATATATATATATATATATATATGTATATATATATATATGTATATATATATATATATATATATATATATATATATATATACATATATATATATATAAATCTTTTTCTTCTACAACGTTTCCCTTATTTAGGGGTTGTCACTTTCTACATACTGCTTTTCTCCACTTCTTTCGGTCTTGTGCCCACTGCTCTTCGATGTTCCTTTTCTTCATGTCGGCCATCACACAAACCAGCCGCCTCTTCCTTTGTCTTCCTCTGCTCCGCTTTCCAGGGATAGGCAGATCCATCGCTTTCCATATGCCTTCTTCACATGGCCGAACCATGCGAGTCTTGCCTACTCGATCTTGCTACTAATGCTTGTGACTCCTGCTTCAGCTAACACCTTTTCGTTTGTTCTCTGCTCTCTTAGACTGATTCCCAACATCCACCTCAGCATTCTCATTTCCGTTCTCTGCAGCAGGCTCTCTTCTTTCTTTCTTAAGGCCCAAGTTTCTGCTCCGTACAATAACACAGGTCTTATCACAGTTTTGTACATTTTTGCCTTCAGCTTGGCTGGTAACTTTTTGTTGCACATCACGGCAGAAACCTCTCGCCACTTGGCCCACGCTTCCTTCACACGGTTTTCACTGCTCTCTCACATCCTCCTTCACTTGCCATCGTGCTGCCGAGATTCTTGAACTCGTCAACTTGGTCATACTTTGCACCGCTCTCCTCTTTGATGTTTATCTTTCTTCTTGCTCCTTTGCTGCTTCTCATGACGACAGTCTTCTTCATGTTCACTTTAAGCCCTCGACCCTCGAGTGCCTTCTTCCACTTCTTCCTGAGCTGTGCTTCCAAGTTCTTTTCACTCGTCGATGAAATGACCAAGTCGTCGGCAAACATTTCCCAGAGCAATCCTCCTCCACACTCCTCGCTCACCACGTCGATAACTATGATGAACAGAAGTGGACTCAGGCTTGATCCTTGGTGAAAACCAACTTTCACTTCAAATTCTTCCGATGTTCCCTGTGGCGTTCGGACCATTGTGGTTACACTTTCATAGGTATCCTTCACGATGTTAATGAGGTACTCTGGAACTCCTTTCTTCCTTAGACACCAGTAGACCAGCTCTCTAGGCACCCTTTTCCAAGTCAACAAAGGCATGGTATAGGTTCTTGTCGCCTTCCAGATGTTTCTCTTAAGCTGCCTGAGTATAAATACAGCATCAGTCGTGCCTCTCCCCGGTCTAAAGCCAAACTGCATGTTTCCTATATCCACCACTTCTCGAATCTTCCGGTCCAGGATCTTTTCCTCAACTTTAAAGAGGTGTTCCAAGAGTTTGATACCACGGTGGTACCCACATTCTAATATATCGCCTTTCTGTTTATACACTAGCACTAGTATAGTTGACCTCCAATCTTCTGGGATGTTCTCTCCATTCCAATTTTTTTTTTTAAGATCTCGTGGGTCGACA